AAAAAAAAAAAAAAAAAAAAAAAAAAAAAAAAAAAAAAAACTCCGACTTATTAGCGCGTTTCAACTCTCACCCAAATTGCGATGGAGTTCCCTACAGTTCCTTCAGAGGACTTTCAGGAGGTCTACTCTGGGTCTGCAACTCCTTATTTAAATGCCACATTCTTAGAGGATCTGCTGACTGAACCGTCTAAAAGCAACGAAACCAGCGGGGTCGCAGCCAGAGACACCTCGGGTCTCATCATCGCAGTCTGCATCACGGCTCTCTACTCTCTCGTCTGCGTGGTGGGACTGCTGGGAAACGTGCTTGTTATGTACGGAGTGATCCGGTAAGACACACATGTCACCGTTTAATAAATAGGGGGGAGATGTAAAAGATGGTTTGGTTGTTGTTTGATTGATTGATATAATTTTTCACACAGTTACTTATAGAAAAAAAGATGACGTATGATTACAAATGGTGCAAAAATTACTTGCATTTACCAATTTACTAGATTTTGTGAAGACTGGTGTAAAATCCATTTTCATTCTGTGTGATTAAGTTTTCCCAGTTTCATTGTCAGGCTGTTACAAACAATTTATGTAAATATTTGATGTTTTTTTTTCTTTTTCTTTTTTTTTTTTACCTTTTCACTACTGCACTGCAGTAGACATCTACTCAAAAAAGTCTAATAGCTGCCCAAAAAGAACAGTAATTCAACGACCCAAATGCAGCAAGGCAGTTTAAACTAGAAAATTCCGCAGGAATTTTAAGGGGCATGCCAAAGTGTGCCCGTCGGTTGAAACCCAGCGTTTTGATGCTAATTTTTTTTTTCATCTATGCTAAAGAAAGCTGCAATGTACTCAACAGCATGTGGAGGGTCTCAAACATGTTGAGTAACAAGGACTTATGTCATTCTCTGTTAAAATTAGTGTATAAACTAAAATTAGCCATAATGCTAATGTTAGCCTAAATGCTGGCAGTAGCATGTGGAGCATCACTAGCATGTTGTTTTAATTTGTCTTGCTCCACTCAATATACTAAACATGTCTAATTAATAAGCAAACTAGCTAATAGCTAACTTTAGGAAAAAGGCTAATGTGCAAGGCAGTGCACTAGTGGGGGACAGTGAAATGCTAATGTTTGTACTAATGTTAATAAAAGATAATAAAGGCTAATATTATTGCACCGCCTATGGCGGTGCACTGACGTGAGAGGAATATGCAGGCTTTTATTTTGAAATGTTCAGTAAGCTTCATTTGAAATGGCAACACTAATCCCATCCATAACAGTGGTTTGTTTAAACCAGTTATCAAATGCCCAAAAGAGCAATTACATGTTGTAAAAATTGTCTAGGCTTTCATTTTGAAATTTTTAGTAAGCGTCATTTTAAATGACCACACCAATAAAATGTGTAACAGTGGTTGGGTTAATCCAGTGTTTTTCAACCACTGTGCCGTGGCACACTAGTGTACCGTGAGTGATCGTCATGTGTGCTGTGGAAATTATCCAATTTCACCTCCAGTATTTCCGGACTATAAGCTGCTACTTCTTTCCTACACTTTGAACATGCGGCTTTTCTGTGGATTTTTTCTATATTTATGAACATATTTACAAACGTATTCTTTTTTAACTTTAATCTCGTTGTAGAATAAGATATTAAATCAACATCTATTCATTTTTTACTTTTGTTTTAAACACTGGGTTACACTGGGTTACATATATATATATATATATATTTTTTTGTGTGTGTGTGTGTGTGTGTGTGTGTGTGTGTCTGTGTGTGAAATATTAATAATCACAGGGAGCCAGAGTAGAGCAAAAAAAACAAAAAAAAACAACAAAAAAAACAAAAAAACCCAAGAACAAAAGCCAACAGAGAGAACCAGAGTGACTCAGAATAAGTTGCATATATACTGGGGAGATTGATTACTGAACAAGGAACAGATGGCTGATTAGAAATGGGTTGGAGGTGTGAAGGTAGAGAACTGAAGGCAGACAGAGGAGAGAGAGAGTGATAGCAAGGAGCGAGGAAGAATACACAAACAGGGGAACTGCAAAACTGAATCTAATTAACAAATAACTGGACATAATGAAGAAATAAACATAACAAGCCAGAATCACTAAGAAGAACTGAACCAAGGTGAAACTTCAATCGAAGTAAATATATCCACAAAGCATTCAACAAAGCTGCTGCGATTTCATTTTTTAAAGTGGCTTTGAACTAGAGAACAGAAACATTGGCTGATACTGAGGATACTGAATATTTTGGTTTTGACATTGGACTTGAAGCTTGTCATTTTAGCTCCCTCCAAAGATTAAATGTTGAAATCTAGTCAGGAATCTGTGTGAATAACAGTAACATTGCTTTCAGTCAGATGCAATGATGTTTTCCTCTCTCATCTTCTAAGGCTGTAACATAACATCCAGGCACATAATCTAATTAGTAACCATCTACTGTCATGTTTTATAGAAATGGATATCTAAACATTTGTTCATTTGGCAGAAGCACTGAAACACACAAGTTTAGGAAAGGAAATCTGACACCAAGACGTTGGATTATTCAGTTTTAATCAACTCATTTCAGGATTACAAGCTCATTCTTAGTATGTACAGAAGCTTCTGGGCATTTAGTGTACTTTAGCTAGAAATCTTATTTTATTAGACACTGTTTAGCTTTGCTCCTGGATCGTTTTGTCAGCAAAATGAATCACTGCATTAACTGCGATCCGGCTTTGAACACTTTGTGTCAACTGATGCCACCTATGAAACCTCCATGTTTGCCAGCTGAGGCCTATTCACTGCCACTGTGAGTAAGGGTCTGACATAATTCTCTGCTTCTCTTCCATCTCCACCAGCTACACCAAGATGAAGACCGCCACCAACATTTACATCTTCAACCTGGCTCTGGCCGACGCTCTGGCCACCAGCACCCTCCCCTTCCAGAGTGCCAAGTACCTGATGAGCACGTGGCCCTTCGGGGAGCTGCTGTGCAAGGTGGTCATCGCCATCGACTACTACAACATGTTCACCAGCATCTTCACCCTCACCATGATGAGCGTGGACCGCTACATCGCTGTTTGCCATCCTGTCAAAGCCTTGGACTTCCGGACGCCTGCTAAAGCCAAGCTCATCAACGTCTGCATCTGGATCCTGTCCTCGGCTGTCGGAGTGCCAGTGATGATCATGGCGGCTACAAAGGTGACGGACAAAGGTGGGTTAATATTTACAAAGGCTGATTTATTGGAAACTTTCTTTACCGCTTGAGATGTAAGTGTTGACTTCAGGCAGCAATCACACAAGGAAGGGTGATTTCAGCTCGGTTTGTTAATTCAAATTAGCTTCTACGCTTGACCTCCTATTAAAACTAATTGCTTAACTCCTCAGGAAACACCGCCTGCACGCTCAGATTTCCCAAGCCGGAGTGGTACTGGGACACCGTGATGAAAATCTGCGTGTTTATCTTCGCCTTTGTGGTGCCAGTCCTCGTCATTACCATCTGCTACGGCCTGATGATCCTGCGGCTGAAGAACGTCCGGCTGCTGTCCGGCTCCAAGGAGAAGGACAGGAACTTGCGGCGCATCACGCGCATGGTTCTGGTGGTCGTGGCGGCTTTCATCGTCTGCTGGACCCCCATCCACATCTTCATCATCGTCAAGACCATGGTGGAGATCAACCACAAGAACCTCCTGGTGGTAGCCAGCTGGCATCTGTGCATCGCCTTGGGCTACACCAACAGCAGCCTGAACCCCATGCTGTACGCCTTTCTGGATGAAAACTTCAAGCGGTGCTTCAATGACTTCTGCCTGCCGTACCGCTCCCGCTCGGAGCAGAGCAGCTTCTCCAGAGCGCGCATCAGCGCCAGGGAGCCCGTGTCTGTTTGCGTGCCTGCGGGGGTGCAAAGAGCGCCGGGCTGACAGAGCGCGGATCAGTCAGAGGGAGAAACGGGTCAGGATGGACTTCAGACTGATGACACACAGTTCTCCACCACTGGAGTCTGAGGTTTTGACCTTTGAATGAACCGTGGATGGGGTTCATGTTGTGATCGCTTACCTAAAATATTATTAAAGCATTTTATTTGAAATATACGAGTGCCTGTAGATAAGAAATCTAGACATGTTCCCCTGAGCTTTGCATAAAAATTCACACAAGATTGTCTGACTAGATTAAAAAAATCAAGTAACTGGCCCTGCTTTATTTGATTTAAAGAATCATTTTCAGCTTTAACAGTTGGGAGCTCCACATTTTACAGAGAAGATTCAGGTGTGAGTTTTCTTAAAGAGTATTTGTATGGTCAGTTTGAGGCCAATGATGGTGCATGGTTAGACGAAACGGTGTAATCGTCACTCTCCCACAGATTACACAGATTCTCCCACCTGCCTTTGATAACAGTCTGGATAACAGCTTCCTGTTAGAACAGCAGAGAGGATTTTGTTGAAGATACTTGTGACCGTGGCTCAAAGAAACGCACAGTTTTGAAGTTAAACGTCATTCATGATCCAATAAAGGATGTCTAAAAAATACATTATAATCTTAAAAATTGTAGCAGCCTGTAAAAATAAAAAAGAAGGACTTCAAAGTTGTCAATTTGATAGCATCTCTTTTTTTATTAACTCAAAAACATCTTGAATTTAGTATTTGGCAAAGAACATTTTTTGTCAAAAGCTATAAAGTAGTAAAAGCAGTAGATTGAATCTATGATCTGTCATAATTGCAGTTTGTATTTATTAGGTTCTCCATTCAAAGCAAATGAATTAAATGAAAAAAGTTTGAATTAAAAAACAAAAACAGAAAAGAAATTAGAACATCTGTATTGCTTTCAGGTTTTCTACATACAATTGTCCTACTAAAATGTAAAACATTGGATATTTATTTATTCATTTCTTTCTTTATTTCTTTTATATTTCAATGGTTTGGTTTTGCGTAACACTTTTATACAGTCCAGGGATGCAGCAATATTAACATTTGGGTCGATGATATACAATACTAATACTGCTGTATTTTCCAATATTGTATATATTTCCCTGCTCTTTAGATACTGTAAAAAAAAAAAAAAAAAAACTCGCCACCTGCACTGCTTTTCTGTTTTAGCTATACATCTCCCACAATCCTGTGCTGTCACTGTCACTCTGCCATGAAACACAAAGAGCAACAAGATGGAAATAATCAGTCATTTATTTCAGCCCAATTTTTCTTATAAGAAAAAATGACTAACTTTGGCTGATACCGGTGTAGGTGCTGATTTATTGTGCATCCCTAACGCAAACCCAAACTGGTTCAGGTCACATAAACACTGGAAAAGTTCAGAGCTCCAGTTATTGTCATGACACATCTTTGATTTCATGCGATTCCACAAGTGAATGTCAATATGAGATATATATATATTTTTTGCATTACTGGATGTATTTTACTCTATCACACAGAAGCACTGCCTTCATGAATGAATTATATTCACCTCTGCTCAGCTGATTATAATGTCGTACAAAGATGAGCGACTTACATTTTTTTTAAGGCGTACTGGGGCTGAGGGTAGTTTAGTGCCAATAATGACAAGAGAAGACATACTTGAGTGGTTGCCATATTTAACATTGCACACTGTATGAAATGTACTGTAAATATAGGGATTTCTAATGACCTATATATAGTATTATTTATTTTGTGGTTTGGTTTAATTATGTTTGTGCACAAATGAGCTAGAGCTGGGTGAACAAAGTGTTGTGTAAATAACATTGTAAATATTGATTCTGCAGTTAAAAATATATATATATTCTGTCACACTTTGACATATTTTTTTTGCCCAGAAGAGCATTTACACAAAA